ACACACACACACACACACACACACACACACACACACACACACTAAAATATGTGCATGAGCCTTGCCTTCTTCACTCATTTTTTTCTGCAAGTGATTTTAGAAACCAGAGGGTTTTGGGTTGTTTTGTTTTCACTTCACGATGCTAAACTATTTTACATAGTTTGGCGATGTTCTCCGTGTTAAGCTGTGATTTTTCCTCTTCTCTTTATCCATACCTAGACTCCAGCCCCTCAGGCAAAAAGGAAAGGCAATCCCCTGCCATGGTGACAGAAAGATGCATGTGGCTTTTGCACTGCTTTAAAAACCCTTTGGTAATTTTAATTTCAAACTATAAATCAAAGCCCTTTTGAAGCATCAGGTGAGAGCAGCAGCAGCAGCAAAACCATGTGAACCATAAGCCATAACAGCACCTGGATCCAGTATTATTAACGATGAACTGTTTTCTCCTTGCTGATGTACTTGTTGCTGTAACTATGCATAAGAATTTTTCCAGGATGGGACTAGAAATATCGAATCTGAAATTTCTGCTCATATTAATTGTACTGTGTGCTTTTTCCCTAAAGTCTCTATGACACAGAGCATCCTAAATGATCCAGGCTGATGAAAGAGAAGTTACTACTTTCAGTCTTAGCCATGCTGATGATAATATGAATAACAGGACTGCCTTAGACTTTGACTCTGGAAGCTCAGTAATTTACATTTGAGGCGCCGGTTCTCGCGGTGGTGATTTTTGGCGATGGGCAAGTCATTTAACCACTCTGGTGCTCATTTTGATCGCGAGTGTAATCGCAATGACACTACCTGGATGGATTGTTTTTGAGAAGTACATCAGAGAAGACAGCACGATTGAAAAATGATGATTTAAATTCAAAGGATTTTTAAAAACAACTTCAGTAAGTTTTTACAAAACTCTATAGAAAACATTTCTGTTTTCTTTCTTTGTTTTCAGGGAAAATATGTCAGATTTCCCTGGAAGTTGCTAACTGCACCTAATTCCACTCAAGAGTTTTTAATGAAAGCTCTGGGTGACACTGAAGGGCAATTGGTTCTTCAGACGTGGTGGTAGAGAACTGTTTCTGTCTGCTGCCCTGGGGCGCTGAACAGCTTTGCTGGCGATTGTGTAGAAAGAAAACACTGTACTGTAGATAAATTAAATAAGCTGCTGAGAATTAATACAGAGCAGAAGTGGAGCATGGGGCCTTGGGCTGCGGGTCGGAGGGACCGATGCCTGCTCAGTGCGGGTGCGGGCGCGGGTCCTCCCCTGGTGGGTGGGGCCGCTGTCTTGGGCTGAGTGGCCGCAGGTACCCTCACTGGAGGGGGCGGGGCCTGCTTCCCGGCCCTCCACCTCCTACCCCTCCGGCTCCCCAGGGATCATGAGAAGTCAGCTCTGTTGTGTGATCCCCGCTGTGCTGGGGCGAACCCGGACTTTGAAATTGAACTACAGAAAGATTCCCTTTTCTTTTGCTTATCGAATCGGCAAATATAAACAAGATGTTGATACTGGCCTAGAGTGGAATGCGTCTTGGGAATAATACTCCTGCTTTAATGCTGGCAATGGAAAAGGATAGATTCAGGAAGAAGATTCGGCTCCACGTGTATATTATGTCACTTTTCATTCCCAGAAATTTTCTTTACCTGAAATTCTATTTTGTCTGCTATTAGTTCTGCCGTGCCAGTTTTTTTGTTTTGTTTTGTTTTTTGATAACTATTTATGTGAAATGTCATTCCACATTCCTGTCTTTTTCAATACAGTTTTAGTTTATGTCGTGTTCTCTCTCTCTCTCTCTCTCTCTCTCTCTCTCTCTCATAATTTTCTCTTTTTGGTTTGTGTTTGGCGTGGGGGAGGGGTGCATCTTCCCTTTAGGGAAGAAGGAAGAAGGCGCGTCACCTTTCTTAGAATTATCTGGAGAAATAATATCCGTGGAACTCACGAGTAAACTGGCTTAGTTATGTTTTCTGAAGCATACTAAAAATACCTAACAAACACAAGAGTTTGAAGTACTTACTTGTACTGACCCAAATCCTATTCCATGCCATTCTCGCTCATATTTACTGTGTATGTGAATCATCTGGGGATCTAACTAAAATGCAGATGTTAATTCCGAATTCTGGGGTGGGACCCAAGATTCTGCATTCCTAG